AGCTCGTATTTTGTGACAAAAGGATGACATCTCTGTGATAACTGCTTATCTCACAGGGCTCACAGCCCAACAAATGCTTGCAGGGACAGCGGGCATCACTCTGCAGTCACCAGAGGTCACCTTGTTCCCCCCCTCATTACCTAAAATGGCTTTGTGGGACCCTCTCTCAGTCAGGACTGCCCAGAGTTCTGATCGCAGCCCCTTTGGGAAAGCCTCCACAGCCACACGGCCCCACTACGCACCGTTACACCCCTCTGCAGACAGTTCTTACCAGAGCCGGAGAGCTGAGGAGAGCCAAAGAAGTCGTCTGCATCTTGCTTTACCTATTACTAACAACGAGAAAAAGGAATTAGGAATCCCAGTACTGCCACATCCGCCTGGCGGCCCAACCCTACAGATCAAGACATCCGCATTTCTCCCTTTCCTCGTTCTAAACCACCTCAGCACAACCGAGCCCCGGTCGGAGCAAGGGGACAGCAGGGTCCCATCAAAGGGTACGGCTCCGTCCAGGCACCACCCCACCGGCCAGGCCCCAGGCCGCGGTGCCGTTCGCTGCCCCGGGGCCGCACACGGACCCCACCTGCGCGGTGTCCGCTCCGGGCTGCGACGGCGGTGGCTCTGAAGGGAGAGCGCGCCCCCACCCCGCTCACCTTGCCGTGTCCCCCAGCGTCCTCCGCGCCGATTGGCTACCGCTACACGCGGCGCGCGGCACTCTGGGACAACATCCGCGTTCCCCATTGGCCGCGATCAAGCAAGCTCCTCCCACCAACATCCGGGATAGCAGCACGGGGGCGGGAGGATTGTTTTACGATGCGGGGCTCCATTGGTCAGTTATTTTCGCTACGCGCTCTGCGATTGGCTGGCGGCCTGGAGGTCTCCCAGAGGACCACGAGGCGCGCGGGCCGCTCCTCGAACCATAGAGCTGACCATAGAGATGGCGGTCGGTGCGGCGTGGGTTCGGCCGTCCTCTCGCGCTGCTCTCCGGTACACCGGAGGCTGTTGCGGCCGCCCTTTCCTGTTTCCCATTCCCTGCTAAATAAAGCTCGCTTCGACCACTGAAACGCGTCCTTGTGGTTTGTTAAGGCACGGCCTTGCTTAGTGAAGCGCCCCGCACCGAGGGCGGGCCTTGCGTCGCGGCACCGAACTACAAATCCCAGCAGCGCAGGCGGGGCTGAGCCTGGGGAGGCGACCCTGGGCGGGGCGGCAGAGCCTGCGGAGGAACGTTTTGCTTTTCCTGGTGCTCAGCTTCTTCCTCCGAGCTTCCAGCTGTGCCTGTCGGTGAGTGAGCCGGGGCAGGGTGTGAGGATGCCCTGCAGTCCCACTGCCTCCTTCCCCTTTTTCCTTCCCTCCCCCTTTTTTTCAGGGTAGGGTGGAAGGCTGATTGTGGACGGGGCTCGCTTGTTGCTGAGACGCTTTCACATTCGATTCCCGGCAGTGAGTTGCAGATTCTGGGCCGGTGGAGCTGGGAGCGGCACTCCGTTCCAACCCACGGCTTATGTAGGGATGTTAACAGGGCTGCAGTCAGGGCACCCCCTGTGGCACGTAACTTGGCACATCAGCTTCCTGCCTGCAGCTGGAAATCAGCCTCACTTAAGAAGGGAGATTCTGCGGGTTTTTTTTTGTTGTTGTTGTTGAATCATAGCATGGCTTGGGTTGGAAATCACCTCAAAAATCACGTAGTTCCAACCCCCCTGCCGACATCAGAATGGGCAGGGCCTCATCCAAGCTGGCCTTGCACACCTCTAGGGATAGGGTGCCTGCCCTTCTCTGAGCAGCATCTTTCTGCCCTCTCAGTGAGTAAATTACCCCTTGACGTCTCACCTGAATCTCTTATTTTACTTTAAAAGTTTCCCTCTTGTCTTATTGCTATCTTCCCATGTAGAAAGTTGATTTCCTTCCTGTTTATAAGTATCAGAAGGCTGCTGTCAGAGCATTCTCTTCCCCACATTGCATTTTTTGAATGCTGCAGCTTATAAAGAGGAGAAAACAACAGCAAAAGAAAACCAACCAAAAGTCTCCAAAAAGAGGTTGGGCTGTGAATATCAGAGGGAGTGTTGTATATTCTATATTGCTCTGTGTGAGGTGTAATTATCTCGTTAGCTCGGCTGTGGGCTGGGACTGACCATTACTTATTACCATCTGCAAAGGTGGGGCTGTGACCATTGCCTTAGTGGATGCAGTCTCACAGGACCTCTTCCTGCACTGACTGCTTCAAAACTGTTCATATAACAAATTTCATATTAATAAGATGTCTTTCTCCTCTACTTCCTGGAAATGGACTGAATGCTGTATCATCAGCACAGCCTGTGTGGCCATTGGGGTTGCTTTTCTGCAAGATCACAGTTGTTCTTGCTAAAAACAATGCTTTTTCTTCTTCTTCTTTTCTTTTTTTTTTTTTTTTTTTCCTCCAGCAGGATGTATTGTTTTGCAGCATCCAGGCACTGAATCCCACCAGCAGGCATGTATGCATGCTTTTGCTGCTAGAAGGCACTGCTGCCTCTCTTCTGTGTAGTAGATTTGTAGGAGGGTCAGCAGGGTCTGGCTTATGGGGTCCCAAGCAGGAAAGAGGCTGTTACATTACATGGGCAGCCCTAGAGTTCCAGCCACTGTGGCTGGGAAGCAGTGGTCAGTCTTACGTTGCCAAAGAGGATCTGGGTCTAAGGAGCAGTCTCATCACAGCAGTAGGGACTCCAGTGTTCCCATGTGCCTTGCTGATAAGTATTGGTCCACGTGTAGAGGACTTTACAGCTCTGTAAAGCTCATTCACAAACTGTTCCTCTTCGTATCCTTCCTGGACACGATTATACTGGCAGCATGTGGAGATGAGATTATGCTTTCTCCTCCTGTAGACTTCCACAATGGATGAGACTTCAGATGAACCTCCCACTTCTGCTGTCGTTTTAGACAGCGGCCACTTCTCCCAGGTCATCTTTAACAATGTGGAGAAATTTTATGTTCCTGGAGGAGATGTAACCTGTCACTATACTCTCACACACAACATTGTTCCTCGTGGGAAGGACTGGGTGGGCATCTTCCGGGTAAGTGAATACTGTGAAACCAAGTATGAAGAGGCAGCCGCTGACAGAAACAAATTATTTGGCATTTATTTGATACTTCAGCATTAAGAAAGGCCTTAAGGCTTTGGTAGAACAGGGTAAAGAATTTATTTTCAGCAATAACCTTGTGTGATGCAACGTTTTTCTTGTGCTCAGGGACAGAGTGCCAGAACTGTTGTTACTTGAACAGCTTCAAGGCCAATGAAACAGCCCATGATTCACAGAATCTGTGAAGAACAGCTGCATTAAAGACCATACTGGCACCATCTCTTCCAACATGTTTCCTACTTCAGTGCTCCCCTCACTTTCCTAATACATTCCATAGAATAAGTAAGGCATAAACTGGTGAGGATCTTCGATTCATGCATAGATTACAACTCTTAAGAAGTCAGGATATACAGAAGTCCTCCTAATAGCTGGTCTGTGTAAGAATACTGTCCAATTGCCATAAGATGAACGTGAAGTATGTAATTCCTCACAAGAATTTTGCTGTTGCAGGTGGGATGGAAAACCACCCGAGAATATTATACGTTCATGTGGGCTCCTCGGCCCAGTGATGTCCATGGTGATACTGCTGTGCAGCAACAAATCCAGTTCAAAGGTGGGCTGGGAGGTTGGGTCACTCATGGTATATACGTGCAGGTGCACAAACAGGCATGTACACATAAACTCCCACACTACTGCCACTAATAGCCGTTATATTTAGAATTACAGAATATCTTAGTATTAGATTTATTAGACATTCTTAGTAATGTGCTTTGGTAAACTTCAAATCCCAACAGCCTAACAGACAAAAAAATATTTCAAATCTACTGGGTTCTGCAGTCCTGTCTGAATGATTTTTGTTTGCGTTCCAATCACTATCACAAAGAATTAGTAATGGTGGAGGAGCAATATTAAAGCAAGATGTCTGTTTTCTTAGCTTCTGACTTTCTCTGCTATATAGTTAAGAGACTCAAATAATTAGAAGCTGCATATGACAGTGTTGTTGTGTTTGTCTGAAGCTTATTACCTGCCCAAAGATGATGAATACTACCAGTTCTGCTACATTGACCAGGATGGTATGATCCGTGGAGCCAGTGTGCCTTTCCAGTTCAGAGCAGAGACTGAGGATGATATTCTGGTGGTTACCACACAGGTTATGTATCCTCATGTCCCCTGCTTCTTCCTGCCTTTGCTTTTATTTGCCTTCCATTAGATGGGAGTAAATGTGTACACGTGGACAATAACTGAGGTGTTGTGAAGCCAGGCACGTTTATTTTGCAGTGTCCTGCATACAGCTCTTTTGAGCATAGTGGTTTTTTGTGCTTCCATTACAACTAAACAACTTTGCTTACTAGGGAGAAGTGGAAGAGATTGAACTACAAAACAAAAATTTGCTTAAAGAAAATGAGAAGCTGCAAGCCAACTGTGAGAGTCTCCAAAAACAAAACGCAGATCTGCAGGAAGACCTCAAGAAGACACAGGTACAACAAAAGTTCGTATATGAAGTCAGAAGCTTTAATTCTGAAGGATAAGGTAAAAAGACTGAGTCGGGTCATGCTCTGTTGTATGCTTCCACGAGAAAATGAAAGCGTTTTCTTCCCGTATTATCTGTTTAATCATTTAACAAGGGGTACAACACCTCTCCTACAGTAATAACAACAATGATGAACAAGAGGCATCATCAGACGTGGGATTCAGGAACATATGGGAAGGAGAGTTTTCAAAAATGTTTGGTAGGCTCTCCTGAAATTGTCAGCCCAGCCCCGTTCCTAACATTCCTGTTTTCTCTTTCAGTTTTGCTCAGGGCTTTCTCTTTCAGTTTTGCTCAGAGCTTAGTGTAAACAAAGTGGGATCTGAAAGATAAAAAGGAGCCCTTCAGGTGGGCTGTCTGGAAGCATTGCATTTTGCGTTTCCAGTGCAGAGGAGGACTACTACCTGAGTCCCATTTTTCTTCCTATTGATCTCATTTTGATTTTCAGGAGCTACAGAATGTTTTGGAGTCCCTTAGGAGCAACACTGAAAAACTGGAGCTGGAGCTGAATTCCCTGAAAAAGGAAAATAAACACCTGAAGGAGCTGAATGAGTGCAGAGAGGCAGAACTGCACCAGTAAGTGTATCTTCAAGATCAATTTAAACAGGATTCCATGTAAGCAAACATCTTGCTTTTGTGGATTAAATTTCCATTTGTGAAAGCGTGGTGTGTTTTCACTTGCTCTGAACAGATTCAAGGAGCAAATTCAGAATGTAACCTCTGAAAAGGAACATCTGGAAACCAAACTGAAAACAGCCCTGGATCATGTCGATCAGCTGCAGGTAGAAAACACGTAGCTTCCTTCCTTTGCTTTTATGGACAGTCTCTGATGCTCAGACACAGGTTCTGGAGATTTGCTTCATGCACCTAAAAGAGCCTGTGCTTCTCAGTCATAACTATTTGTATTCACTTGCTGCCCACTCTTTCTTTCTTCCTAGTCTCAACTTCTGAGTTATGAGAAGAAAATTGAAGACCTGGTTCGTTCAGACCATGACAAGACTAAGCAGTGTGAAAGTTTAAAGGAAGAGAATAACCAGTTATGCATGACTATAACTCAAAAGGTAAAACCTTCCCTGAATATCAGGATGCTTGGGGAAGTCAGGGAAGAGGCTGAATGGTGTCCTTTGCAGTGACTGGGTAGAAATACAGTTTAATTTTAGGAAAAGTCTAGGAGATTTCATGACAAAGAGAAATCTCTATGGTGGTCTGGGTGTCCACACAGGTAGTTCTGTGAACACACCACCTTGCAGATTCTTGTAGTACACACATACGTTTTAGTTTTGGAAGAGATGCCTGTCTAAGTAGACTTCATAATTCTGATTCTCTCTGGCAAGAAAATTCAATCTCTGTCTTTTTTGATGAAGCAGGGAGGTGGAAATTCAGAATTGATAGTTAGCTGATTGCAAATTGTTACAACTAGGCAAAACTGTTTCAGGATGGAGACTTGTATAAATAAAACAATTTCAATCTGCCTAGACTATCTGCAGTTACTTTTAGCTCTAACAGGAAGCTGGCGAGTAACTGGTGAGAGACAGAAACTTGCTGGTTTCCTGTATGCTTGTATTTTGTCCCTTTCTCATTTTTACTACTGTAGATTTGGCATTTAATAATCAAAAAAAATGAAAAGATGCAATATAGTCAGAATGCCATGAAACAACCTCTACAATATAAAGTTTCTATTCTGTAGTTTAATGTTCTGCCTTGCATCCTGACCTGACTCTTTCTTTGATGTTCTCTTTGCAACTCTACCTGTGAAACTCTGGGAACTCTGATCAGGAAGAGCAAAAGAAAGAACTTAAACATTGTCTGGAGCACTTGAAGGGATCAGAGGCCAAGCTGACACTTCGTCTGCAGAATGAACAGGTGTCCAACATTTCTAGGGGTGCAGCTGGGGGAGTGGTCTCTGCTCTATTGTATAGAATTTGCTGGTGTCTGTGTAGGGGAGTTGACATTTACTTAAAGCCCTGTTGTCCACCCTTTTTCAATCTGCAGAACCATCACAATTTCCCTTTGATGTTACAAATGCCTATACATATAACAAAGTTAAGTTTATGGTCAAAAGGTTTGCTTTTCTTAAGTAACTCCTGCAGATCTTTTAGGAACAATTCACAGACTTCAGCTCTGAAAATCACACTTTGAAGTAACATGAAGGTTACAAAAGAAAAGGGAGTGACATTTTCATTCTGCTGAAGGAACTGTCCTTGGCAGTGTTTGAAGCCTCCCTGTTAACATCTTTAGCCTGTTATCCTCTGTGGTTTTCTAAAGGCGTTTCCCTTTCTGCATGTGCTACTCAGGATAATTCTGGAGGCTCTACTCTGACTTTGAAAATTAGGTGCCTAAAATAGATGTGATTACCTCTGCTGTGATATCAAATGTTCAGGGTTCTTACAGTGACACTTTGAGAATGACTGCAGAATCCCTACGGACTCTAGCTTATCTAATTTACTGATTTAATACAAGATTCATTCTTAAGGATGTGCTAGCTATCCAGCTATCCAGTCAATGCAGATGTCGGAGTACCAGGAAATATGTCAGGCTTGGAGGTCTCTTACCTGCCAGGGTAGAATTGTTGTCATTCCTTTTCTTTAACCTCTCACTTTGATGTGTTGTACTTCCCCTCTGGAGGTCACATCATCCTCTCATGCTGTAATGAAAATACAGAGCTTAAGTGGTTGGTGACACAGAATTGTCCTAGGTCAAAATCTAAAAAATGGTAAGACTCTAGTTTCAAGTGAAGGTTTAATTGTTGGTAATAAATGCAGTTAGAAGATTTCTGTATATGTGAACATTGCTTGGAGCTGTCATCTTTTTGTTTGCCAGTGTCCCACAATTTAGCTAATAACACTCTTCCTTCATAGCAACAAAACAATGACTTAATGAAAGAGCTTGAAGAGCAGAAGCGTTTGTTTCAGGCTTTGCAAACAAAAAAGAAGGAATCTGATGAGGAAAATCAGGTGAGAACTTGTCACGAGTCCCTTACCTTTCTCACACATTGAATATGACACCAATCTGTCCATCTAGTGTTCAGTTCCATTGACCCTTCCACCAGACAGACTGCTACCTGTGCCTTTACAACTGCAATATTCTCTTCTGTCTTTTAAAATGTATTATCCTATTGCAGTCATCCTGTCTGCCTTTCTGAGCAGGCCACAGAATAGATCCTTACGCTTCCTTTCTTCACTTTCTGTCAAGCAGGACTAAGTCTGAGGTATCAAGAAACTTAAGAGCAATTTTTATTTTCGTTTAGAGGATCTGTGTTAGTTCATTGTGTAATTTCTCACTGAAGTAGTCTCCTGAGCTTCTGGAAATTAATTCTACCCTTCTGTCCATTTGCAGAAACTAAGAAAAGAGAATAATTCCCTCCTGAGGCGTCTCTCTCAGCCTAGAGATGTTTCTTCCTCTTTTGTTGTTTCACAAGCCCAAGCTTTTGTTCCAGCTCCTGAAGACTTTGTATTTGGAAATCCATATCATGGTGAGAATACTTGGCATTCTGTCTGATACCACAAATACATGGCAATAAGGGTCTCAGCAAACTGTCCTCCCTTTCAAATTGGATGCTGTAGAGAATGCATTCTTAGCAGCACCTGTGTAGCATGTGTGCAGATGACTTGACAACTGCAAAATGCTGCCAGATATTAAGAGCTGATTTAAGTCATCAGCAGTCTGTCATTTTCTGCAGAAAGAGACAACCATTACCTAGCTCATCTGCCAGTGGGACAGTGAGTTCTGTAGCTTATGTCCAGTTTCTGTAGTCCTAAATGTAGAGGTTTAGATCCAGAGCCACACCCTCACATTTCAAGAATTATCAGTTGTTGACACATTACACTGTTAATCATTTGAAGTGGCTGAATGAACTTTTTTTCTTTTTTCCCCAGCTGCAGGAGCAAACCAGGCAAGAGCCACAGGAATAGTAAGTAAAGGAGACATGAATGGACATGAATTAGTGGTATACAGACAAAAATTAGTAGTTCAAAATGAGAAGCACCAAGTTCAGTTCTGTAGCTGGTTGTCCACTTACTGTTTTAGTCCTGGTAACATAGCAGACAACAAAATGGAACCATGTGCACTTAACCTGTAGAATTAGTAACATGTTAGGGAAGTTCTGTTCACCTTAATCTTTAAAGAACAACTTTTGGCAGCATCAAATGTCAGAATGAGCAGCTGCTAAATACCTTATTATTTTGTATTGTAGACATAGACTCGTGCCATTTAGGAGTTTTAAGAGTTATTTAGAGAAGCCTGGAGACATTTGAAAACTTCAGTGTATTGCAAGTCAGAAAGACTTGTCCAAAGCTCATAATATCTGACTAGCAATTTTTTTCTTCTTTTTGAATGCAAATACAAATTTAAAATTGTCTTTATTTGCATTTCCTTTGTACTTCAGGATTCTATCAGGAAATGCCCCATATGCAATGACATTTTTCCTGATGATATTGAATCAAGAGACTACGAGGCCCACGTGCAGAGCCATCTTCTGGAGTGCCCAGTCTGCAACAGAGCCTTTGAAAAGTCCAATCAGCAGGTGTTTGAAGATCATATGTTGTGCCATAGCCTGGAACGATTATGAATCCTTATCTGTTCTGTAGAATAGGTGGCAGAGGCTGCAGCTTGGAATAGACCAAAATTATTCTAGAGACTTGATCTATGCTAGTAAGAAACAAATTTGTCATCCCCTTAAGTCCTCTGTCTTGGATCAAACAACAATGCTAGCTAAATGAGTTACAAATCCTGTAATTAATAACTATCCAGGTAGGGCCAAATAACAGATCTAGTACAGCAGTACTCGGCTGTACAGGTCCATTATAATGGTTTTATTATTCAGTAGAGCACTGTGATTGCTAACCAAAGAGCAGAAGCACTGCATAGTCTTTTAGGACCACACCTTCAGTCTGGTTCAGCTTCTGGAACACAGAGTTAAATACTAATAAATACAGAAGTCTAAATAAGAATATATTTTCCTTTCTTCTTTTGCCTTTAGTCATAAAAAAGTGAAATATATATTTATAAAGAAACTACTTATTTGTAGATCTAAAGGTCTAGGGTTCTTCTTATAGCAGAGTAGGCAGTATAGCTTAGTGTAGAACGAGGTGCATGCACTGTTGTCCCTTTTTTTCTGTATGACCAGACTGAAAGCAAATGGTGATACAATCTGTGCTTGCGCGGTCACTCTGACACTGTCCTGTCATGCATCCATCTCATGGCAAGGGAACCCTGATGTTTATGAAACAGGAAAAGTCAGAATGGCCTGGAGACCATAGGAAAGCAGTAGCTGAGTTGTCATGAGAGTGCTGAGGATAAATGGGCTCTCAGTCTTGAAACTGGGCATCCTCATTTAAAGGAAGTGATGAAAACCCTCATGACTTAAAATGAAGAGCCTGTTCTCAAACCAAAACATTGTGATTGAAAACTGCTAAGTGCCTTGGGACATTACAATGCTTTGTGGATGGATTATCCAGTTACTATTTTTATTTCTGCTTTGGGATTTTCAAATTATGATTAACTGTTCTTTTGTCCATGCACATACAAATGGGTGAAGTTTTATTATCCAGCTGTATTAGACGTTTCCTGCTGAATATCTGAAGCAAGAGAAAATCATAAGAAGTTTACATAGAGTTTTAAGACTATTAAGAGTAACAAAGACTTTAAAATATTTTGATTCTACACATAATTTTTTTAATCTAGGTTTAAATGGAGTATTTCTGTCTTTAAGATATACTGTACTGGTAAGCATTATTTTAAAAAATCTGTAACACAATAAGAGCAGACAAAAAATAAAAGCTGTACTGAGAAAGTCCTTGAAAAAGATGTCAAGTTATTTAAATAAATTGGAGAAATTGTTGGTGTCTTAATGGAGCTATTTGCAAGCCTTCGATTGCTTTCTGAAGCTTTGCTCTAACAAAGTACTTAAGCACATCTCTGAATAACTTTTAGCATGCAACATAATATCTCAATGGTTAGTGGGGCTGTTGCTGCCTAATGGCATATATTTAACCTGCAAATCTTCATTGGCTTCTCTCAGCATGGGAATATATCAAGAAAGCCAAAGGATAGGATGTTATTCATTACTATAATGTGTATCAACATTCCTGATGTATCTTTATCCCAATTTTGGCAATCAAATGTTCTGTCATCATGAGGCTAATTTTTAACTGAGCACCTGTTTTCTCAGGAAATATCCCACTCTTTTTCAAGAAAATGCTCCCACCCCAAAGCTTTTCTACACATCCTCATTTAAATTAACATTTTCATTCTTTTCCTGCTTTACATCTTGACAGAAGCAGATCAAATACAGTGTGTCACAGAAGCAGTCTTTATTAAAACTCTAGCAGTTCACCCAAATACCACTTACCAGCCCTGCTCATTTTCTACGCTGTTGTTAATGCTGGCTTTAGCAGCTCAAATCCTAAAGCCTAGCCTGTCATTAGTGGTTAGTTGTGTTAGAGTGTTAGCTATGTCCCTGAGCTACCAGTGTCAAGCGTTGATGTTGCTTCCACCTATTTTACTCTGGTGCCTACTTGCCATCTCCTACCATCTCCACAAAACCTCAGAGCCTGTTTTGAAGTGGCAGCCATAGGATACAGACAGCAAGCAGGTGGCCGGCAGAGGGGGTCAGACTGCAATAAATCTCGTGAGGATGCTGCATTTTGAAGCATTTTAAGGTATGCCATTTGTTTTCTGTCCAGATTCAGACTTCCAAGACATAATATACTTCTGCCTGACACATCCTGAGCAGCCAGGGACTAATTTACCTCCAAGTACAAACTACACTGTATTTTCAAAGCAAATTTTCATTTTACATGTAATTTACAGCTTTATTTATGTTACTGATGCATTTAACATTTGGAATTGCAGTATGTTTCAACCCTATCTCAATTGTATGGTTTAGAACAGAAATAGCTCAAATGGTTGATAATTAGATATAATTATACTTTGGATGAGATCCCATTTACATTGATATATATTGCAAAAGGACCTTGAAATAAATGTTCAAAACTGACAGTAGATAGTTGGCACAATCTATGTCTGGAATCACGTGGAATCTGACTGAATGGGCATTTGTTATATATAAATATTTAAAAGGGTATAAAAATTTTGCAGGCCATATGTCTGCAGATAGAAAATACAAACCAGATGACAACATCTCCCAGCTGCAAAGGCATGCTGTCGATGGCATAGGGCACCAGACTACTGACAGTTCTTTCCATCAGAAAGACCATCATCTTGCCTGCAAAAAGTTATTTTTGGTGCAGAAAAATGAGACTGGCCTTGAGGTAGACAGTTACAGTATCCAGATTCTCAAACTCTTTCAGTCTTGAAAGTCAGAGTTTCTGAAAGGCTGATGGGTTGTTCTGCTCCTTTCACAAACTGATTCCCAATCTCACAGCCACAGCCCCTTTACTCACTTTAGCAGCTTCTTTCCTCCACTCTTTCTCCTCCTAGTTTCTCTTCACCTATCTCTGCCTTCCTCTTTCTTACTGAACAAGGTGCACCTTCAGCGTTGTCTTTCTCCTCTGAAATCACAGTGCTGAGGTTTAGGGCGAGGAGAGGCTGAGGCATGGAGTGGGATCCATCTGGCAGTGCGGGCAGAATGCAGGCTGGGACTACTGGCTGCTGCTTCTCTTCACCTTAATGAGGCTCCTGCAGAGAGCAGAGGAAGCAGAAAGGAAATAAAAAGGTTCCTAACAAAAGGAATGTAAATAGACAAGGTGCAGGTGAACAATAGAGGAGAAGGAAAGCAGTATCCAAGCCAGCAACTGAGTGGTTTTGCTTGATAATCAACTTGTGAGATTGATTTTAAGACACAGCAGAAGAGATCGATAATTCTTTACAGCAGTATAATGCACATCCTAGGAGTTAAAGTGTTTTGAACATCAAAGTCCTTATTTCAGGGATCAGGTCTGTACTTTCTTAGTAAGTGGCAGTGCTTCTGTATTTGGCATGTCAATTATGGGAAAAGGAAGAGAATAGGGAATGCAATCATGGTTAAAAAAAATGGTTCTAAAACTACACTGAAACAAACTGCCAGGCTGTTTGAGATGGGACAGCTCTGAAAAACCTGGGGAAGGAAATGCTCACATGTCCCTGTGAGACTGAGAAATTAAGATATTATACTTATGTCGAGCTTTTTTTTGTTGCTTCTGTTATTTTGTAAGGACATTTCTTCTCTTTATCTTTGTTTTGCAGTAGAGATCCAAACTGACCTACTCTTGCTTATCCAGGAGTTAGTGAGTCCCTTTATCTCTAGAGCAGTTGCACAAATAGACAGTCAAAGTGGGTACATAAAGGCATGAAATCAAAATACTGCTGTTCATCACCCGCTTTGTTCTGAATTAAATCCCAATCTGAAATGCACTGAAGAAGCAGATCTTTACAGTTTTGTTGGTGAAACGGTTGGGTCCCAGAATTAGATCAGTTGTTTTCTCTAAACAGCTATTAGTCGCCTCCATTATACTAACAGAACTGGTTTCCATCCTCTGGCTCATTTATTCCAAACCAGCATTATTGAAGTGAATGGGGTCTAGGCCCTGGATATTAGAAGAGCTGTTGGTCTACTCATAAATAACAAGTTGTCAAGGATTTTAATGGAAACCCTTAGAGTGCTGTAAATCTGTGCAGTTCTGCCTGGATCCCCTCCCTCATTTCCATCACAATATCACTCCAGTGGGACTGCAGCTTGCAGCATGTGCCAGGCAGCCTAGATTGGTAGGACACAGGGGAAGAAGGGAAGGGAGAAAAAAACAAAAATCTGGAGAAGAGGTGGGGGATTCAGAACAGTTGGTAGTGCTGAAGCATCTGCTGGGTGGCTGGTTTTGGAGTCACCTGGCTTATTCAGCATGGCAAGGCGGGGAGGGCTATTCATCCAGGGGGACTGGGATAACAGAACCAGGGATGCTTGTGGAATAAAGATGGATGTGCTGCAGTTTACATTTCGCTCCATTGGGCTGTAAAGTAGTAAATCTCAGCAAATAGAGGGTTGTGTTAGTTTTTGATCACCGTTTAAGTAGTAGAGCTACTGATGTGATACTATATAGACTGTCTCTTGTTGTTAGTAAAAACAGGACTTTTCAAGACAATTTTTTTTAACCTTCCTAGTCAGTCCAAACTGCCTTCAGGGAAAAATTAACACTGTACCCTGATTCAAATAGCAATGTTGCTGTGGTTCACTGGATCTGACCAGAAACTGGGTTACTACAATGTTCCTTGACATTATTTACTCAGCCTCCAAATATCATTAGCTTAGCTGTCTGCAGAGATCACAACATCCTTCTGCATACAACACTGAAGCCTTCTAGGAAGGAACTTGAACTCACTCATCCATTCTTTGTTGGCTGTATTATGGGATATATTATGACTGGCTTGGATCAAGGCACAGCCATACTTGTGCCTACCCCTCATGCAAAGCAGATGGGACTACATGGTGCCCTATTTAAGAGTCCAAGAGCTCCACAGCTCATTAAAATTTGTATGCAAGGTCACTTTAGGCTTAAAGGTAGGCTTGCACCCTTGCTTACCATGTAATAGAAATAAAAAATGACATTGGTGACAAAGCTTCCACTAGCTTCAGAGTGCCCAGGGCTTATAGTCTTACATAATTACTAGTCTGGCACTGAAAGCCTAAAATACAATAAAGCCATCAGCAACACAGATGCTAAATTAATTACTTTAAAATATAGCTCCTTCCACATTACAACCTTACAAGTATGGAAGAAGCAGGTCTTAAGAGACTTATGCTCTATATTATGTAATTAAATATTACCTCTGTGCTATTGATAGGGAAGCAGCCATGCAGACATGAAGGAATTTAGCCAAAGTCTCTCAGAAAATGTGTGGCATAATCCTCCTCTCCCTCACCAGATTTAACATTCATTTTGAGAAAGGCTGCGCAGCACAAGAAGTGAGCCAGGATGGAGAAAAAAATGGATGGCTGCCAAAAGGGATTGATGTCCTTCAGACTCCAGGGAGTTTTTAACCCTTCCCAATGATTTTGCCAGCCTGAAAAACCTGGTGGGGTTCATCAGCCTGTACTGCTCCTCTGCTGATCCATAAGAGATTTGCCAGTGGGAGCAGCTGCTTTGAGAGTGAGTTGATAACTCAAGGCCTGAGGCACTTACATCTGTATGTCTCATACGCTGCCTGCCTCCCTTCTCCAGTAACAGGATGAGACTAGAATATTGCATGTGCTTTCATAATGCGTATTCCCGTGGGGCCTTGGTCATGATTATAGCATCTAAATGCAACCAGAAACAAATAATGACAACGAAAAAGACAAAAAAGATGGGAAACCTAAAGATTCCGAATATTTTTTATCGTTTTTTGTGTTTAATACTAAGTTGCAGTTTTGCCAGCTACACAGTGTGGCTAATTCCTTTTTATTAGCAGTTATATTGTTGAGAGCAGGTACTGCATGTTATGTAGTGCAGCTGAGAGAGCCATATGGAATTTTAATCTCTAGGAGTTATTACCTGATGGTAGCAGTTTATGAATCCACACTTGTCTTAGCAGAGTTCCTGAACTTGACAGTTCTTCCTTAAAGAGGTTGATTGCTAGGATACAGCTGATTCAGAATGTTGGAAAGGAAAGACCCTTCATTAGGTGACCCAAAGACTGTCACAACATCAGTATCTTTTAGGCAGTGCAGTGTTTTTCACACCTTCAAGAAGTGCCTTCTCTTTTATTATAACTTTAATGACCTGTTTTGCTTTTCTTGATGAATCAATTAAAATAGGGACACTCAAACTTTCCAGCTAGCTATTTACAAGAGAACCTCTCTGTTCTTAAAGCAATAATTCTTATAAAAATACTCATAATTATAACCCCAATATATATATTTTTGGGAGGAAAAAAAAAAATTAACTTTGAAAGCTGTACCCTATTTTTCAGTGAGCTTTCCTAAGACAACCCCCAAACATGAGATTCTTGCCTTTTCTCCTAAATAATCCCAATAAGAGACAGCATACAGACCTGCTGCATCACCATGAAATCCTGAATGAAATTTTCTCTGGTCTCAGGCTCCAACATCTGTGTTTACAAGCAACAAAAGAGAAAAACACATTGCTTTAATGGAGAAATAATGTACCTATGTATCACTTGGGTGCACCTTATTGAGTGCACCACAGATTGCTCAAATAAATCTAAGATGCTCACTAGATCTTTAAGTATTGGAAAACTCATAAGCTTATGAGGATCGTATCAGGATTGTAAAATCTCAAATGAATTCTGGTGAATCCGCTGTGGGCTGCTATGGAAATGGAATAGGGTTAGTTTAAAGGATATGTTATCACAAAAAAGAAGAGGGAATCCAGTTTTCTGTGTGCGTGTGCCAATTAGCTCAGCACAACCTGCTCTGCTTTCTGCCAGCTCCATCTGTTTCCATGGCAGCAGGCACTGAATTAATACACCAACTGCGAATTCTGGATGTAAATGGTGCTGCCCATTGTGTCAGCAGCACCAGCAGACCTCAACACCTAATTTCATTTCCCCAAGGCTTCTAATTTGCTTTTGTTATCATTACTTAGCGAGGATGATTTGGGTGCTTTTTTTTTTTTTTTTTTAATGTTAATATCTGAGAAACAGCCGCTCTCAGGCCCACGCGCTGCCATTACCCAGAGTTGGGGCAGCCCTGGCAGAGCTGTGCAGATCCACCTTCGAACTTGAGGCTGTTTAAAACACAGCCCTGAAATCCCATCCAGGCAGACGCGCTACTCTGGGCCTCACAGCCGTTTATTCCCCTCTCACCTCCCCCAAACTGCTGTAGAAAGGCCCCAAGAGAAGCACTTTCGTTCCCCCCCCCGAGTAGCAAAGCCCTCAGGAGTCACCCCAGCCTCCAACCCCCAGACGCTCCTCCTCAGCCCTCGTGAATATTCACATCGCCTCACAGCTGCCATTGGCTGCGGCCGTTCAAACGAAGCGGGGCCGTCAGCAGCGGGCAGTGGGCGGGAAAGGGGAGGGCTCTACAACGCGCCTGCGCACTGGTGGCGCATGGAAGTGACGTCACCCCGCCAGCTCCTTGCCCCGCCCTTTTGCTGTTTTTATCCAGTCACAAGTTTTTCTGGCCGCTCGGCCCAATGGAGCGGCAATATGTTAATAAGGGGGCGGGGAAATAAAGGGGTGGTGCTTGTCGTTTTGTCCAATCAGAAGGCGCGAGGGTTGAGGTGGGGGCTCAGCGCTAAGGGCATTCACCTGGGCGGGAGGTGGCGCTGCTGCGGGTCGCGTTGAGGCTTAGGGTCGCGGGTTCGGGGCTCCTGGCGTCCCGTGGGGTTCGAGCTGCCGGAGTTCAGCGTTTCCTCCACTCCTTCTGGTGAGCCGTCGTCTTTGAAAGCAGCTCCCAGCGCTCCGTCCCTTGCAGGTGTTGGCTCCCCCGTGCCAGCAGTACAGAGGTCTTGCAAAAAAAAAAGCTCCTTATGAATGGGTCTCCATTGGCACCAGCATGGATGGAGCACTGGGAGATGCACCAACTCAATGGATGGAGCACTGGGAAAGCATTCACACAGCCTTTGGGCTCGGAGGAGCCAAAATAACTGTGTTGTAGCCCATCCCTGAAGGCTGAGTCGATTGCCATTTGCATGAGGGTCATGACACGATTTGCAAATATCATTTGAAAGTCGTGGCTGGTTGTGCAGAGCTTGGCAGGCTGTGCTGGAATTCCCCATTGATGCAGTTTTGTTCAGACATATGCTGCCAGTCATTAGGCAAAGTATTTGTTTATTGCCCCGGAGTGTCCCCTGTTGTTCTAACACTTGCTCTTTGCAAGCCTTCACTATCCCTAATGTTTAATCTCTGTAAAGGGCTTGCTTGTGATCACGATACATATTTCTCTCATAATGACTGAAGTTAGGCAAGAAGTCAAAACTTAATATGTCAGTGAGCTCTTGCCAGTACTTTTCTGGATTCATGCCTCGGGTGCAGAACACGAAGAAGCACTACAAATGGCTCTGTTCCCAATTTAAACAAAGCATTATTCAGGCTTGTGTTCCAGGAATCTGTTTTTCACCACTCATCAGAAATGTCAATGGAACTGTTTGTTTGGGCAGTTGTTGGTGGCTTCTGAAGCAGCAAGAAATTGCTGGCCTGTTTGGTGGTTCCTTTATGACCAATTGCCATCTAAAACAGGCAGTTTGTAAATAATGCATCTGCAGCAAGCAGAAGCAATCCACCTCGCTTTATTGCTGAGGTCTGACTGAAAGGAGATGCTGCATCTCACTCGGAGGGCAAAGTTTGAAATTACAACACTTCGTTCTCCTGAAACCTATGGGCAGTGAGAGGTGATGAGGAGAGCATACTGGACAGGTTGTACCATCTCAACAGGTTGGTGAATGGAAGTGATGATCGAGCCCTTAGAAGCATGAACTGCTTAGCCTGTATGCATATAGAATAGAATCATAGAATTATAGCATCACTCAGGTTGGAAAAGACCTTAAAGATCATCGAGTCCAACCACGGCATGACATACGATGGTCTCTTTATTATCTTTTGCAATTAAAGAGATGAAAATCAACATATCACTTTTTTTTTTTTTTTTTTCTGACCTAGCTACCCAGAAGATTTTCCAGATGTGACATTTACTTATTACACTTAGTTACCTTTTTTTTTTTTTCCAAAATTATTTCAAAAGATTGAAAAATTACATCTAAAAAGTCTACCTTAGAAATCAGCTTTAGTGCAAGCGTTTGATAACTTCTGAAGAGTCCCTTTATTCCGTTTCCCTCCCCGTAGTGGTGATGATTTGCAGCCTGATAGCATATCAAGGAAACACAGGACTTATATCTGTAAAGTGGACTTTGACTGTCAGGGAAGAGGCATCTTCATCGCCAAATCTGAGGACATAAAACCTGGACAGGGGAGGATCTGCCAGCAATACATCTCAAGGGTAACCCCTCCATTCCATGTTTCAAGATTGCTGTTCTGTCACTGAGCTACTGTTTTAATATCCACTTTAGCCTTGCTTTGATGTGGTCAGTCAGCCATAAATAGCATTCACTGGTCATTTTCTTCAGATTCATCACTATCAAAAGAATTCATTGCTGTCAAAAGGAAAAATATCTACTTTACATGTCGCCGTGTAAACTCTCGTTCAGAAATAGCCTCTGATGTTTTGAGATGGAATCACCTTGACAAGAATTCAGGCCATTCGGACTCATTGGACAAGGAAAACTTTTTCCCTCACGACTGAATGAGCCCTTAAACAATACTCATTTTTCACGAGTCCACTTAAGCTCTATTGTCCTGCTCCTTCCAAGTCTCTCATCAAAGCATTTTTGATTGACATTTGGAGTCATGTTCCTGATGAAGTCTAATATACAGACCCCAGTAAACGTCTCGTTTTCTGGATTTCTGATAATCTTAGAAACAGAGCCTTAATTTACTCTGGTTTGTTGTTGACCTTTGGATACACTTTATTTTGGGGGGATAAATTTGACTTTGCATTCACCCATTGTTATTTGTTAGGGATCATTCCCAGGAAAGAATGAAAGTCAAAGCAGTAAGAGATGGAGGGGAGGGCACATGCAGGCACTGGCTTGTTGAAAAAGAAAGTAGGCAGTTATAGAATCATAGGATAAGAGAATGGCATAGGCCAGAAGGGACCTTAAAGATCATCTTATTCCACCTCCCGTGCTGTGGGCTCTGTATAATCAGTGTTTGGGTCATACACCCCAGCAACAGACATTTACTGCATCTTTCCTAGCTCTGTGATAGCTAGGCTAGACTATTCTGGAAAAATATCTGCTGTAGGAAAGGGTTCAGTAGAGACATTAACTGGGCTTATAACCTTTGCTCTATAGGTTAATGAGTTACCTGAGTGATTCATGTGTTTCAAGCAAGTTGAGATGCAAATTGGCTTCACATTCTCCATCCCAGACTTTTATAATTGGTAGACACAAGTTTGATCTGCAAATTTATGTGCTGGTGACATCTTGTGATCCTCTGAGGATATTTGACTATAATGAGGACCTTACACATTTTACTAGTTCAGCACACTCTGACCCTTTGCATAATAGCTTCATAAGTAAACAACTCTATTAGCAGATATTAATGACAATCCAATACGTAGCACTTGGGCAGAGAAAACACTGTGGTTTGATTGTCCAAAGTTTCTTTATCTGGGAATCTCTAAGAACTCCATAAATGTTGGTAATCTCTACGTTCCATGAATAAAAGCATGCATGAAATATTTTAGCTCTTTTTCTAGTAGGTAGTTATATTTTTGGTATCTAAGCTGAAAACAAGTTTTAGGTGTGATAATATTGCCATAAATACATATCTAATCGACTTTCAGCATAATTTTGGTACTATTTAAGGTAGTTATAAGAAAAAGAAACGCTGGAAGGAAGATTTGCCTCCATGCTAAGATTTTTTTTTTTCCTGCTTCTTTATGAAAAGAAGTCCTGGCTTAGCTGATGGCTGGAAAAGGTTCTGCTGTGTAGTTCTGGATCATTCTAACATGGAATTAGCTCTGCTAATAAGTAGTTGTAGAATGGGACCTGACTGAGAAAGAGGGCTATATTCAATTGAAACTGCTGATTTCTCAGAAGTGATGGAATTGGAATGCTGATGAGATTGCAGTGAAGTGAAATTGAAGCTGTTGAGCCTCATTTATTGGGTTCTTTAGAGTAATGGGATCAGTATAGAGCTGATCATATTCAGTGCCATTAAATCTTCTGTGCTTAATTAAGATGCTCTGTACATTATGCAGTGTGACCAGGATCATGTAGAGAAGAAGAGAGGAGGCTAATACCTTTCTAACCCTGCATCTTGTTCATTCATTTACAGATAATGTATGCATGCATCTGACAAATTATTCCATTAACCAGAACAGCGTTAATTCTGCAGAGAAGAAATCACTGGTGGTAAGAAGTAAAAAGAAGTCAACATTTCAGAGCTACTCTCAGAGAGGGTTGCATTTACCTCTTCTGCCATATGAAGATGTCTTCTAGATCCTTGAATCTGCATTAACTTATTTCTCTTCTTCAACCTGTTGCTTGCTGTCACCCGGCTCTTTTTTTAACAACCCATTTCTAATTGTGGCTTCGGATTTCCTGCAGCTCCCACTTAATGGATGGCTCATGGGTGGCCGGCAGAGGGGGATAGACTACACTGAATCGGTGGGAAAAATAGCTCTGGGAGCTTGCATGGAGCATCTCCTGCCTGCAGGAGTCCCCACCTTCGTGGACAGCTTCTTTCAAGTTCTTTGCATGCGGAATTATTTCAGACTTAGTTATTACCCTCTGTAGTTGGTGATGGAGAGGGTAGGCTGTGGCTCTCAGAGGACAGCAAGTTAATGGCAGTTCCTCTTCCTCTACTCCTAGTGGATGCTAGTTTGGCATCAACTCTACATTCAATCTCAGGCCATAGTTTCAAACTGAGCATGTCAATGATTAGTTTTCTCTTTGCCAAATTAAAAGTAATACTAATAATAATAATTTTAAAAAAAACCCAGCTGGTGTCACTGCTTTTTGTTGCTGTTGTTGATTTGACAAACAGCAAGGACGCACAGGATGAGGATAGGATAAGGATAAGATAGGATAAGAAGGTGTCTTTTTCAGCTGAAATGGCTGTGAAGCAATCCTTGGTGAAACCAGCAGCAAAACTGGTTTGGATATGGATATCCAACCTTGTCTATGGCAGTAAATTGAAATCAGGATGGATTGTGTTGATAGACAGCTTGTTCAGTAGCTCCAAGAGCAGGTGGAATGGAATCTGTGGGAGAAATGTGGGGAGCCTGAAGGGATGGGTTTGCTGCCTTTCCTCAAATGCTTTCAGTCCACTTGGAAAGCGTGCAGTTCTGCAGTCCTACAGTTGTAAAATGGAGCAGTCATTCTCAAACTGTGACGCCTTTATGAGCAATGGTGCACACTTTCCATGCGGCTTTATGGCGTGGAGCAGCAATTTAATTCAGTAACACCCTTGTGTAGTGATAGCTGAGCTATCTTGACTTTATTTCATTGAGAAGTGAGGGTGCACATGCATGGACATG